TAACAGAATATATAAACGTAAGGTATAATACAATATATACATACAATGATAACTTCATGTCAATTTTTTTTTTCTTCATATGTACATATAATAACGACACTTAATATTTCTATAACATAATTTTATAAATTCAAAGTATTATCCAAACTATCAGTTGAAAAAGTGCAGGAGACCGCAATCATAGGCGAAGCTTGACTAGTATGGCGGCCTCAAAAAGATAAAAAAATAATTTTAAGGTGAAACTTAAAATGAAAAAGTGTTTAAACGTTGTTTGTATATGAGTTTGTGAGTGTGCTGTGTGAGTGTGTATTGCGTGTGTGTGTATGTGTGTGTGCGTGTGTGCGTGTATGCGTGTGTGTGTGTGCGCGTGTGCGTGTGTATGTGTGTATGTGTGCATAATGCGCGCAAGCGAGCGTGTTGGTATGTGTAGCGAATAGTGGATGTGCACGTAACTCTCTGTTGGATGGTAAAGTGGAAACAAAATGTAGCCTTTTCAATAAAGGAAACCAAGAATACGAAATAGAGTACGAAATTTGCAAACATGAGTTGCAATTTATGTGACCAATATTTGAGATATGAATGATAAATGCCTACTGCATGTTGAAATTAATTATGTAGGTACTTCGATATAAGAGATTTTTTAAGAGATACTTTAAAAGAATAAAGAGATGAACAATTCCTTATTGAATTTGGTAAGGAGTTCCAAACATCTGGTCCATGATGTCTTACTGACTTTTGGGCTAAAATTATTTTAGGATTTTCTAAGTGATAATTTGTTGAACAACGGGTGGGATATGTGTTAATGTTTGAGTTTAAACTGTAAATATTGTGAAATAAGGATGGTAGTTGATTATGAGAATATTTATACATGAAAATGCTTGTCTGAAAAATGTGAATATCTTGTATTTTTAATGTTTTTAAACGATGAAATTTTATCCCTGGACCATGCTCTCTCTCTCTCTCTCTCCCTCAATACGATTGGAGGAGGGGGCGATGTGCCTTTTGACCTTCTCCCCGGAGCTAAATCGCTGACTTAAAACGTTATCCATTTTATTAGGTCTTATAAGTAAAAAAGAAATAATTGAATCAAGGATGATGAAGTAACACTCGTTAAAGCTAATGTTTCCCCGGCCCCCCACCATTCAGGGTACGCATATGCGTGTTCCCAGCGGCCCCCCGCTTTTCAGTGAAATTCCGGTGTGTAAAGTTAATACGGGTCGACCTTTTTCTTTTGTTACGAGCCGGAGAGTTTGGGAACACGCATGGTATCCCTCCGTTCACGGAGTGGAGGGGGGGGGGATGTTTCCCAGGTTTGCAATTAAAATTAATGATATCTTGAAGTTCAAGATTTACCATATTGGTGATAAAAATGAAAAATTTTCAACATGGATATTTGTATCATTCATTCACACAAGTTGGCATCTTTATTGACTTTTAAAAGGCATTTGATACTATAAACCACAGCATTCTCCTCAAAAAAATGTCACACTATGGAATACGTGGGTTAGCCTTGCAATGGTTTGAAGATTATTTGTGTAAACGATCACAGTTTATACAATATAAAGACAAAATGTCTTTGAAATTGAATATAACATGTGGTGTCCCTCAAGGCTCCGTTCTTGGACCAACATTATTTTTACTATATATATATAAAAATGACTTACCTAACTCCACAAACTTTTTCAATTTCAGATTATTTGCTGATGACTCAAATCTTTTTCATACTTTTAATCCTAGACAAAAAGAAATTGATTTAGAAATTGTAAGTGAAAATTTAATGAAGGTGCAGGAATGGTGTAATGCAAATGAAGTCACAATTAACTTACAGAAAACAAACTATATGATTATGAAATCCAAAGCTAGATCAATAGACAAAAAGGGATCTGTGAGAATATCAAGATCAAATATTAAAGAGGTATCTGTTGCATCATTTTGTAGGAATTGAAATTGATTGTCACCTTTCATGGAAAGAACACATTCAGACGATAAACAAATGCATAAGAAAGAAAGTAGGTATTCTGTTTAAACTGAGACATTTTGTTCCCAAGAATATACTTGTGTTATTATATAAGGCTTTTATACAGCCTCACCTCTCTTATGGAGTAGAAGTATGGGGGAGCACTTACAAAAGTAATCTAAATTGTATATATTTAAGTCAAAAAATGGCGATGAGAGCAATTACATTCAGTCCACTTAGAACAGACTCCAAAGCTCTTTTCCAAAGTCTAAACATTTTAAATATTTTTCAACTTCATGAACTTCTTGTATCAACATTTATGTACGATTTGGTAAAAGGTTTTTTACCACACTCTTTAGTGGATTATTGTCAGATGATACAGCATAGATATGCAACTAGGAGAAAAGAAAGTGGCTTACTTTATCAACCAAAATGTAAAACAACACAAGGGCAATTTTGTATTTCGTTTGTAGGAACAAAGCTGTGGAATGATCTGCCAGATGAAATTAGATTAAAAACATCAAGGTTATCTTTTCGGAGACATCTTTCCACCTACCTTCTGTGACTGTGTAAATGACATGGGCTCAATCCCACCCCCTTCGTTTTTTCCTTTTATATTACTTGTCTTCCTTTTATATATGTATACACTTATAGCGGCCTTAAACTTTTACAGGATTTGTGCATGTACGTACATGTGTATGATTATTTTTATTAATACATCCTTTTCATTTTTATGAACACATTGATGATTTTATTTCTTCAAAGATTTGTTTTCTTTCATTATAATGCTTTACGCTTAATCTTTTATTATTTTTATTTTTTCATTTTAGTAAAGAAAACAAGTTACATGATATTGTAATATTTTGCTGTATATATGTAAATACAAAACAAACAAGTTTTACATTCATATGTAAAAACAAATTAACAGAAAAAAAAACTTGCCAAAGAATGGAACTAGGCTCGACTAGCACTTGTGCTAACTTCTAGTTCCCATTAACAACTTCACCTAAACATAGTAATATACATATTTAAGTATATATCTTTTGTACATTTAATAGTATGCAGATGTATGTCTAAAAAATATCGTTTTAAAACCATTACTGTTCAATCGACATTACTTTTATGTTATGTATACATGTATCAGTATTATTTGTTTGCATTGTATGATTGTTCATATGTACTGTCATTATTGTGATGTGTTGTTGTTAATAAATTCAAATTCAAATTCAAATTCACACAACGAGGATGGAAAAATGTGTTGTTTAAAAAAATAGGTCTACTAGCAGCATTCATTCAGAAAAGCAATATACGTCGTTAGAGAAGCAACTGTAAAGGATGCAGAAAGACTTGTACAAAATTGTAAAAATCACTGAGACCAAGAATTTTTAAGAGAGGGAGTCCTATCTAGCTCATTTTCTTTGTACCATCTTCGATGCCGCCAAGAGAAAATATGTCAGGCATGTGCTTAACTGGATCTTCCTTGTAGATACGTAGACAAAAGATTCCTGCTTAGCTGTAAACTAACGGGCCACTTTCAAAGGGAAATATGCTTTTGTAACGATAATTACTTTTCGCTACCAGTCGTCTGATATAACGAGCAGTACACAGTGCTTACCTTTACATGAGGCAAGCGAAAGGAAATAGAGCAAAATTTCCTGAAATATTAATCAAAATTACTCGAATGGGCATGTGTGGGTACTTTTCTGACATATAACATCATAAAGAACTGTACATTTAATAACAAATTCACGTTTTATTTTCGTATGCCGCAATTAATCGGAAAATTGTCAAATTGCAGGTTTTAGGACTAACATTTACTATTTTTCACAAATTAAAGCTGCTATCATACAATGTAAGCAAATTTCTTGACACTATTATAGGCTTTTGTATTCATATTTTATCATCTGTTCGATTTTCCTGTTGTTAGTTCAAATAAAAGTGAAATATTAAGGATATTTCTTTGTGGAAAAATCACTACTCAACTTTCCAATGTATTGGCGGTAGATTATATTGTGCAACCATAAAAAACGACAGCTGTTTGGAATAATTGGTTGCCAGTTGGGTCTCCAGCTATTAAAACTCCTTGGTCTAACCAGGAAATATGCCATTTTCGTAGTAAAGTAATCAAATTGAATGCACAAATCTTTGCCTCGTTATAAGTGATTTCATTCACCTGCTAAAAATAATTGTATTTCATTAGTCAGAAGGCAAATTGCATACTTTCCGTTATGTTAGGTTGGACACGCTTTAATGTTTGTCCTAACAATCGATTTATGCAAATTCGCATTCTGACTATTGAAATACATTTGGTTGTAGCAGGTTAATAAAATCATTTGCAACGAGGCATTTAACAAAGACTTGTGCATTAAATTTGATAACATTATGAAAATGATTTATTACCAACAAGGGGACAGTCCAACAAGCGATCCCTGGCACGTTAGAAAAAAGTAATTTCATCTTTTTCCAACTGCGAAAATACAAAAAACACGCATTAGCAAACTTAAAGTTATCGAAGATTGTAAATAATGGATTACATAACGGGACATTAAAAACATGCACAAATTAGCGCATTATCCTAAAATATTGAGTTTTTGTCAGGATCTAATTTTTCTTCTACCAACTCTGGCACACAAATTGTAGAAAGGGTGGGGTCCTAAATTTGAAAAATTGTTTAATGCACTTTTCCTAATACAATCCCCATATAAAGTTATAATTTACACTAACATTTTGCCGGTAATTTAATATTTTGTAATAAATGTGAAACTGGTGCTTGGCCTCCAAAAATCCCCGCAGTGGAATCGCGGCTCGGAGCATGGGACTTCAAAGCCATGTGGAATGTTACAGATCTCATTGTTACGCTTTAGAACTCACGAATGCGTTTGAATAAATTACTAGAGTTTCGACTCCTTTCTTTCACCTCTCTGGTCAAGCTATAATGTTTGTCCTACCTGACAACAACTAATGTATGCAGTTCGAATTCTGTCTATTGAAATACTCTTATTCTTATCAGGTGAATGAAATTAAAAAAATTACGAAAATGGTCTGATCTATTGTAGACCTACGCCAATAATACGCTCAGTGTGATAACTGACCTCAGATAGAAACGAGCTACTCGGCTCAATGACCCGTAAACTTTCATTATGAGGCAAAGAATGGATCTGAATATTTCATTCACTTGCTGAGAAATATGTGGTTGATGTCCAGCTTCGTTGTGAGAATACCGTTGAAAGCTTGAAATAGAGTGGTCAAGAGCAATGACGCCCGCTTGTTTCCCTGTAGTCTTGACCATGTTCTCTCTCTGTAGTATCCTAATTGGAACCGTCAAAGTCATGGATGTGTGTTGGTCGCCGATATGTCAAAATCACTTCAGACGACTTCTACAGAGCTAGGAACCGCACTGGGAATATTCGTTGCGTTTACTTTTTTAGCAGGTAAGTTTGTAATGTTCTTAAGCCTGGTTTAAACATGAATAACAGACATCATTCTGATTTATTTATTTCTTTGTGGATATTTTGAAGAATTATGGACTTCATGTATACATAGGCGGCGGAGCGTCTTCCAAAGTGGGGGGGGGGGGGGGGGGGGGTTCCAACAAAAAGGGCGCTCATCGGAAAAGGGGGCACCTACAAAGGAAAACCTCAAACTGAAAATATACTATTCTTAGACATTGCATGTATACACCCCACCACGGTGATGACATGATCAGTGAGGATTTTAAGATTTGTTTAAAGCAGTCTAATCATGAAAGACTGAATACCTTTAAAAAGTAACATAATTATAACAACTATAAATGCGAGCTTTGGGGTATTAAAGAAATGTTGCTTTTATTCGCTTTAAATTAGGGGCAAATTGTACGTAGAAAGGAAAATGGGCACTTATTAGAGAGGAAAAAGAAGCGCATGTCAAAGTAGAAAGGGCAATTATCAGAGGTGAAAAGGGGCATCAATCAGCTTTTAATAGGGGCAATTATCAGGCGTGAAAGGGGCACTTCTGAGAATGAAAAAGGGACACTTATTGAAAAGGGAGAGGGGGGCACGTGTACAAATGAAATGGACACTCACAAGAGATGGAAAGTGCATTTAAAAAAAAGGCAAAGTGGCACCTGTCAGATTTGAATGGGGGCAATTTCCAGAGGTGAAAAGGGCTATTATGAAAGGTGAGAAGGGCACCTTTCAGATTTAAATAGGGGCCCTTATCAGAGGCAAACGGGGCACTTATCATAGGTCGTAAGGGGGACTTGTAACAATGTGGAGCGTGCACCTGTTGTAAAGAAAAAGGGGGCACTTTTCTACTTAAAAATGGGCACTTTGGGGTACGTTTTTTATAAATGAGGGGGGAGGGGCACTGTCACCCCTCATATTTTTGAGTAAATCACAGTTTTTAATTTTCATTGAGCCAAGAGGTTTATTACTTAAAACTGATAATTCATGGTGCATATTTGATCATAAAACTAATGACATTCTTTCACATTTTGACCCAAACATGCACATGCAGTTTAAAAAGAAATAAATACAAGTGCGACTGGCATCCTATGTTATTCCTTGGTATTGTTGCAATAGTTTCCGCATTTATATCATGCATTATGCCAAAATGCCATTGAATCTTTTTCTAGAGCCCCCTTTTCTTTATTTCTGAGGCTTGTCTGCTACAGCGAGGATCAGACCAAGGACCCCCCTAAGAGAGTTAGTCTGAGCAATATATTGCGGTGCTTCCCTCGAAGCAGCACACTCATCTGATTTTGATTTTTAAATTTCTTACAAAAAATGTAACATACAATAAAGAAACAAATTATTCATACCCTTACCAAGTTTTGTAGTTTTTCAAGTATCTGAAAAAACCGATATGTCCCGATGTATGTTTCTTTTGAATGTTTAAAATTTACAAGGGCTATAAATAATTTAGTTGTTTGGGGTTAAATGTGGATTTCCTATTTCTCTGACTCACACTATATATTTTCATTTTTTTTCATTAACGAAAATAAATAAATATACATTTTGATCTTTTCAGCCCCCGTTGTTGCAGCCCTTTATAGTCGTTGTGGTCGAAAGCGCGTCTTTTTATTGGTAGGCGCCACCTTGGAGTCCGGTGCCATGATGCTTATGCCGTTTGTCACTACTAACTTAGTAGTATTCATCTTATTTGCTTTTGTGGGTAGGTTGTCAAAGAAACTATGTACGATGGAGAAAAAAAACATTTCGGAATAGATTGTTTATGACTCAAAAGGTGAAGTTCAGATAAGACTGATATTTACTTATTGAAGGATTTTTACAATATTATAATTAAAGATAAACTCCAGTACTGGTAAAAAAAAAAAAAAATTCTCACAGAATCAAACGAAACTTACACTGATGTTCAAGATAACAAATAATGACATGTGCCAAACAATTTTGGAAGAAATGTATACTGGCTGAGTATGAGCATAGAAAGACAAGGAAACCAAGGTAGTACCATCCCCGACACCATGTGTGTTGTCCCATATATAGCTTTCTATGTGAGTGTTTGTTACTTTACCAAGACTCGGTCAAATTTATTATGATTTTGATGACTCCAGAACCTTGCAGTGCACACGAATACTTACATGCTACATGATCAACTGTTTCTGATCCTTTCACACCTTTTCTTTCACAATGCAATCGCATTACCAGTACTAAAGTTTAGCTTTAATTCATTTCTTTTGTGCGTTATCTTAATTAAGCCTTGAAACCTAGCCATCATATAAACATCAAGGCATCTGCGTGGCAGTGGGGTGACAAAATGTTAAAATTGTTACCACATAAAGTAAGCCCTATTCATGGTCGTGTTGCGTACTGTGCCCCCCTGCCCCCCCCCCCTCCAGTAGAAAGCCTCTCCACTACACGCATACCCATCCATGCAAATGTTCATTGCTTGTTCTTACTGATCTTCAACTTTGCAGGAATCGGGAATAGCATTATGTGGATGACTTGCTTCATAGTGTTGACTAGACTTGCTGGTGAGAACTTCAACCTTCTTTTTAGCCTAGCAATGTGTGGATATCCTGTAGGAATGGTCTTGCTCCCCTTCCTAGCAGAGGAGTTGCTTGCTGTATACAGTTGGCGGGACGTCCTCTTAATCCTGAGTGGATTATACTTAAACCTAATACCGTGTGTCATGATCATCAAGGTGCCCTTAGACCAAGAAGAGCATGCGTCCAGGACTGAAACTGCATTGCAAGGAGGTATTCCATCCGATGATGCGTCGCACTCGACATTGTACAAAAGAGTCCAGGGTGCAGAAGGTGGCTACTGTCAAGATATTAATAACGACAGTGACAGTGATTATGTAGACCAGGACAGACATGCGGAAACTCTCTCTTCCTCTACGACGAACCAAGATTTGGTGAAAAGCGATTCCAACAATTTGTCCATTGATGATGAACCATCTGCCAAGCATGGCCCACTTGACATCAGTGGTTTCTTGAGAAGAATAGTAGTGTGGTGGAGAAGCTCAGAATTTTATGCGAATCCGTTGTTATTTTTCAACATCCTTTCGTATGGCATGCATGAATTTGTGTTCACTGGATGGCATGTGTTCCTTTTACCACACGCCCTCCAAAGAGGAACCTCAACCAGAAACACAATTATCATAGCCTTAAGTGCAGCTGTGGGGGATCTATTCGGACGCATCTCCGTCGGTGTTTTGACTCACAAGCTCGTGGACCCCATCAATATGTACCTAGCCTTGACAGTCTTGAACATATCTGCACTGGTATGTGATGGATTTCTTCCTTACTTCTTTGGCATGCTGGTGACATCGTGTTCTTCAGGTTCCGCCATTGCAGGAAGGGCTGTGCTAGGGCCACTGGGGATTAAGGCCATAGTCTCTGGTGAGAACCTGCCAATGGTCATAGGTGTGCTTTATGTCGCTTCGGGCTGTGGAGGTTTATTGGGTGGATACGCAGCAGGTATGTACTTAAAGCCCTACTGTCCTACTTGTAGCTACTTGCTCCCTCTATATAGAAAACTTCCCCAAACGGTGCATGTTGGTCTCCCATGACCCTCTTTTGCTTATGTTAGTTGAGAGCTAAGTTGATGAGAAAGCCACATGTCAATGACCTGGCTGGGTAGTCTAATTCCTTCTGGCCCAATAGTATTGACGGCCTTTAAAACTAGTTTGGCTAATGATAACTGAAAGCTAGTTATTTGTTTAACTTCAATATATATTACCCATGGTGTATTGCAGCATGATCTATATTTCCATTTCAGCAGTTTGATTTGTTGTTTCCGATAATGTTTGTCAAACTGGTAATATTGGTTCACGTCTTCGAATTAGGTTATCTTTAAAATCCTAAACTGATTTCCATGAATCATTCATAAAGAAAGAAGAAAGCGTATGTACAGTATATTTATATTATCACAAATAATGTCGATGATCTAATTCAACTAGTTAGCTGAAATAAATTCTTCACATGATTGCATTATTATCACACATGCAAATTGTCGCAAATTATTTTTACAAACTGGCTTTAGGGGCAGGCGGGGGTTATTTTGTTTTCTCTATGCTTTAGGTAAATTCTTATGTTCTATCCAAAATCTCCCACCGTTTTTACTTCTCTTTTATTGTTTCTCTCGTCTTCGCAACTATACAGGACTGATAGCCGACAGGGTATCATCATTTGACGCGAGTTTCAGGTTGCTGGCCGTAGTCGACATATTTACCTTCACCTCCATGGTAATGCCTAAACTAGTCAGGAGACTATACCAGATAGTTCATAGTACGCAGTAAAGTATTTGTGATTATAATAATATTAACAGCCGAGGTGGTGATTATAATCATAATAGAGATAGTAATTCCATGATGATACGAATGAGACGATAGAAGATCGAAAAGGAATATACCATCGATCACAATATTTCATCAGAGATTATCCGGTAGTGGGTGTTCTAGTTAAATGCTTAACATGGTTTAGATCCTATGTAACCCTGAATCAGATTGTGAAGAAGGTCTTCATTTGAGAGAGCTAAAGCGTGAACCATAAATCATATTGATGGGCGTACCACAGGGATCTATGTTGGGTCCACTATTTGTCCAACTATATAGATACTGTCATTTATCTTATGATAATGTATATACACGTAAGTATGTAGATGAAAACCACTTTACCTCTCAGTTAAAGTACTATCTTTCAGTGGAATTACAAGAATCAGTGATGGAGATAATAATCGATATCTATTTTACTTTATGTATTGATAACGAAATGAATTGTTGCAAACAAATTGACAAAGTAACAAAATGTAATTACTGTGTGCTAAATTGATCAATTATTCATTACATGTGATGGTATCTTTCAACTTCCTGTAAAAGTTATAGTATCCTCACTGTTTATATCAAGCTGTGTCTTTTCGTTGTGACATTTAAGGTCAGTGACATATAAATTCAGATCTGGTTGGTACACGTCTTAAAAAACCCAATTACACCAAAAAACACAAATTTACTACTGCAAAGGGGCCGGCAGACACCCTACATAAGAGGGGCCCCCGAATGGCCCATGAAAAACATGGGAGATACTACCCAAACCATTAAAAAAGGCGCATTCCACACAGTAATCAACTGTTGATGCAAGACAAATTTTATTATACAAAGGTCCCCCAAAAAAGAAGGATGGCCCGATGTGGACCGTGGGCCTCAGGAATTGAACGATATTGTAGATTAAATTTGCCTTGTAACACGACATTTCAAGCAGATCACATTATTTGAATCCTAAAGTTGATTACAGAATAAAACGTGGTGTATTCTAATATTTAGTGACTATCAAAAAATTACTAATTTTAATCCAATTAACATCTATTAATAATTTAGCATTTGCCTATAAGTTTTTCAGATACCACAAGCTAGAGAGGATCTTTTGTGCTCCCTACATCTTTCACATAATTATCTCTCTGTATCTCCATGTCAGTCCTCCCCTTGTTTTCCCCTTTTTTTTTTCCGTCAAGCAGAAACTGAAATTGATAGTATAGCCTTTTGTATTGCGATTTGAAATGTATTTCAAATATCACGTAGATATTGAATATTTTGTTACTTCAATGTCAACTTCAAATAAAAGACCTTATCCTTTTTTTGGCCGCTGCCTACTTCAGCATACAAGTATTTAACTGTTTGTGGTATTCTACTATTTGATGTGATGCATCTTGTCTTTTAAAAATTCTTCTTTCTTTGTTTTTGCTTCCAGTGAAATGAAATAAACGAATGAACGAATGTTAATGCCCTACACAGAACCAGCTGTAGTTTTTAGTTTCTTATGTGCTGCTCTAAGCAAATTGTGTGGTATGGAAAAATAACATTTTTAAGAACACTTGAATCTCATTAGCCTCTACGTTTCGTTTGCATTAGGCCATTTTCGTAATGTTACCAAATTTAGTGCATACGTCTTTGTGAAGTGCCTCAATACAAATTATTTCATTCACACGATAAGAATAATAACATTTCAATAGTCAGAATGTTAACCGCATATATTAAGTGTTGCTAGGTAGGTCAAACCACAATGTTTGTCCAACCTGGCAAAACTAATGTATGCAGTTCGAATTCTGTCTATTGATATACTTTTATGCTTATCAGGTGAATGAAATAATTCGTATTGAGGCACTTCACAAAGACTTTAAATTTAGTTACATTACGAAAATGGCCTATTCAACGGGCATTCAAGTGGTACCTCGTTCGTTTGATCAAACGCATTTTTTGGTAGACGGCCATATACTGGTTATACAGTATATTATATATATATATAGGCTATTGTTACTTTGTTCGTTTGATGAAAGTGCCTTGGGCTACCGGCTAAAGTTGACGATTCATGAATTAAAGTACTATTGTACCGTGGAACAGGGTCATATAGACACAACGAAATAAAAGCAAAACAATTTTGAAAAGATGCTTTCATGCACTCGTCGGCAACCAATGGAGGGCTTTGAGAATTAGTGTTGTGTGACTGGTTTTTCTTAGAGAGGGGCACTATACGAGCAGCAGCATTCTGGAATTTGTGTAATCATACCAGGGGATTTTGAGGTTATTGAAAAATAGAACAATTCCAAAATCAAGACGGGATGAATTTAAAGAATGTGTATCTTCTCTGTGGCACGACAAGTTTGGTATTTACGTATGAATCCTTCGTTATATGCAACTGATAGTGATCTGATATAACGTGGCGGCCTCTCTAGATTAACATAGCATATATCGTTGCGCACCGTACCGGTGCGGACCGATCTGCACCGATCCGTGGCTATCTGTTTTTTTAAATTTGAGAAAACCGTGCGTGAAGGTTTATGTGTGGCCTGTGGGACATGTTCAATAGATAGCCACAGTAGCGGGCGTTGTCATAAACGTAGCATTAACTTAGATTGATCACGGAATTTTAAGAGCTGGAGTTATATTTAGCTCATTCCCTTTGTATCATCTTCGATGCCGTCAGGATAAAATATGTCAGGCATTTGTTTAACTGGATCTTCCTTGCAGATACGTAGACAAAAGATTCCTGCCTAGCTATACACACTAACACTAACAGGCCACTTTCAAGGGAACATAATTATGCTAATGATAATGATAATTACTTTTTGCTACCACTCGTCTGATAATACGAGCCAACACAGAGCTTACCTTTACAGGAGGCATGTGAAACGAAAGGAAATGGAGCGAAATTTCCTGAAATATTAATCAAAATTACTCGACTGGGCATGTGTGGGCACTAATCTGACATATTATGACATCATAAATCACTGTACTTGAACATATTCACTTTTTATTTTCGTGCGTAGGAAGTAAATGGAAAAGTGACAGAACTGCTATTCTGCTGTATGCAGATTTCTTGACACAATTAGGCTTTTGTATTCATATTATATCATCTTTTCGATTTTCCCTTGTCAGTTCAAATAAAAGGTTAAGTATTGACGATCATAAGAGGGTAAGAGGACACTTTTTTTTTTTTTTTTTTTTTTGGTCTCGAAATTCGAAAATTTGATATTTTACTCCGTTGGGGGGGGGGGGGTAAGGTCAGCTTTTTTTTTAGGTCAGCCATGGGAATATTTTTTTTTATATATATTTTTTTATAAATAACACAAAAAAAAAATCCAAAGGGGGGAGGGGGGTTTAGGGGGGTTATGGGGGGGGGGGGGTTTACACACAGAAAAATACCAAAGGGGGGGGGGTTAAACCCCCCCCCCCCCCCTGTGTACGCGCCTGGTTGGAACTCCAGCTCTTCAAACTCCTTGGTGTAACCAAGTTCGTGCACGCGTCCTTGTGAGGTGCATCGTTTTAGGTAGTTTCATTAATTCATCAATTTTCTCCAGTTTAAACACCTTTACGGCGTCTTTTGGAGGAATCCTACCAAGTAACAAGTAACCTATTGAAAATGGTAGTACATGACATCGCGGGAGTGCAAGGCAAATTGCGTGCATTACGTGTTGTTAGGTAGGGCAGGGAAGTGATAGAGAAGGAGTTGAAACTCTTGTAATTTATTCAAACGCATGCGTGAGTTCTATAAAAGGCGTAACAATGGGATGCGTAACGTTCCACTCGGCTTTGAAGTTCCATGCTCAGAGCCGCTCTTTCACTGCGGGGAATTTTGGAGGCCAGGGGGTGAGCTAAAAGAGCGCATGGATTATCAGGATCTAGAATTCCTCCAAAAAATGGTATTTCAGCAAATGTTCGCTGTCCCATTCAATGATTTCTCATCAAATGTTGAATGCGTTATGACTTAAACAGGCGAACACACACTTTTGTAAGTTCATATTTTGTTTCAACTGCAAAAATACAAAAGAACACAAAGGAAACTTAAAGTAATCGAAGATTGTAAATCATGGAATAAATGACGGGACCTTAAATCATGAGAAAATAATCGGATTTTCCTAAAATATTGAGTTTTTGTCAGGATCTAATTTTTCTTTTACTAACTCTGGCACACACATTATAGGAAGCGCGGAGTACTAAATTTGAAAAAAAAAAACATTTGATGCACTAGTCCTAATACAATCTACACATGAAGTTAATAATTAACACTGCAGTTTTGACGGTAATTTAATGTATGTGAAACTGGTGCCTGGCCTCCGAAGTTCCCTGCAGTGGAAGAGCGGCTTGGAGCTGGGACCTTCAAAACCAAGTGGAATGTTACGTATCCCATTTTTACGCTTTAAAATTCACGGATACGTTAGAATAATCCCTGGCCAAATCAAAGCGATCTTTTTTTCTTCTTAAATCTTTGAAATCTGTAGGCTACACTCTTACGACCTGCTCAACATGTATTTGTTTTTGTATTTGTGATCTCAAATTTTTTCTTTTGCATCTTCTTGGCGTTGAATTATATATATATATATATATATATATATCTTATATTATAATGTTTATTTATAAGTACTTGTGTATATTTATGTATATTTATGTATTATACAATCAACTAATAAACTAAAAGGCTGGAAAGAGACGGGCAAATAGTTGGAAAGATAAAGAGAAGGGAGATGGAAGAGAGAAAAAACGTGAGGGGAACATGAAAGGAACGGGGAGGGAGGAAGAGAAAGAGAGAAAGAGAGAGAGAGAGAGAGAGAGAGCGAGATAGAGAGATAGAAAGAGAGGGTATGTGAGAAAGAGAGAAAGAAGATACATAAACAAGATTAGAGATAGTGTTGGGATGTGTTCGTGATCATGCGGGTAAATTGGAACCTGTGAAAGACGAACGGTTACCTCACCGAGTTGACATATTGCTGTCATATACGGAAAGTCCAGGGCATACCCTAAATCGAGCAGACGTTCGTTCGAGGAGAATTAAATGTAAACATAATTCCACGTTAAAGTGATTACGGTGGGCGGGAATGGGATTTGCAATGATTTTAGTCAACGATTTTCCTTCCCGGGTTTATTTTGGCGGCTACCATAATACGACGTCTGTTCAGGTATACCAATTTTTGCTCTGCTCACTCAAGAAGAAAGTGGAGGGGGCAGGGATAATGGTTGGATGAAAGATTTCGAAGCAAATATTTTTGTTTGGTAGAAATTTCATGCCAGGTCATGCATATTTGCTCAATCGAATTGGACTGGAGCACAGTGACGCCTATTAATTCCATGACATACTTGCAGTCGCGTAGCGAGGGACCATGGGGGACGAGCCCCATCACATGGCAGAAAGGGATCAAAAGAAAAAGATAGAAAAAAGAGAGGGAAGGGGAAGGAAGATGTATACAACAAATACGGGAAGGGAAGACGATAGAATGTCTCCCATACCAATCCCACATTTGACCGTCTTTTAAAGTAGCATTTTATCCACCAATTAATATCAGTGCCCCCCCCCCACTGATGCAAGTGCCCTTTAGTTCTTGGATCCATGCTACGCCACTACATATCTGATTGATGCTGGGTTTTAAGATTGGGAGGGAGGAAGTCGTGATTGAGATGATGACGTTTAACTTTTAATTCTAGGACAGCTACTTAAGTTCCCTCAAAGGGCAAGTTTAGCCCCCCTCAACAAAGTTTCTTTTAAATTATAACCGAAAAGTAACAAACAAGCCGAAAGGTTTGAGGTTTGATGTTTGGCACTGAAGTCATGCGCGTACGCAAGGGGGTGTTTGGGGGTTAACCCCCCCCTTTTTTATTTTTATATGTATAAACCCCCCTAAAAAAACCAAACCCCCCCCCCCCCCTTTGGGTTTTTTTTTTTTTTTTTTTTTTTTTTAATAAAAAAAAAATTTTAAAAAAAAAATTTTAAAAAAAAAATGGCTGACCTAAAAAGGTGACCTTACCCCCCCCCCCTCGGAGCAAAATGTCAAATTTTCAATTTCGAGACCAAAAAAAAAAAAGTGTCCTCTTACCCCCCCCTTATTCAGCGGCCGGCTGAGTCGTTGCGATTTTTGGTGACCAAAAAAAAAAAAAAAGTGTCCTCTTACCCCCCCCCCCCCCCCCCCCCCCCCCCCCGCTTATTCAGCGGCTGGCTGAGTCGAGTGCGAAATTATCGGCCCGATTTGAAAATGTTAAACCCCCCCCCCCCCCCCTTGAAAAAATCCTGCGTACGCGCCTGACTGAAGTCATGTGCTTGAAAGAGTGTGGTTAAAATCTACCTAGCGCAGCGATAGGAAGGGCGTCCGGTCTACTTACGTACAGTCTACTTACCTTTAATTTCGGGAGGGAGCGGGGGGAGGGGCGACGCCAGCTTCACCATATAATGCATACAAAATCGGATGTAAGAGTAATGCATTTTTAAGGAAATTCTAAAAATACATCATTTATAA